CTCGATTTTTGGTTCATTCAAAAGCTGAACTATTCTCCTTCACACTTCATAATGATAGTAAGGTGCTATCTAGTCATTTAAACACTCTACATATGTTCAAACAGTTCTGCATGATTAGCTCTGTAGGATCTTTTTTAGACCAGCTACAGATGTGATGTCTGAATGAAAAATATAGAGGAAAAGCTCACCTTTTTAATGCACTTCAAATCGAGTGATTTGATTGAGAACTGCAAAAGTTATTGATGTTTGAAGATTCCAAAATCCTGTCTTCAAAGTCAAGGGCCAAATTTCAGGTATTGTTACAGGTGGGTTTTTGATGATTCTCAGCCTTGATTGTTAGTACATTAACCAATATCTGTGTGTAAAATACAAAAAAATACTCGTCATGACGCCCCAACATCTAGGAACAAGGTGCATATTTTTTCAGATTTTTAGCTCTCTTCCTGTTGCCTCAGGACTTTTCTATGTCAGTAGTTTTCTTTACCGCCCGGTAAAGATGACATTTTGTGTAGTGTATGTTCAGGACATCAGAGAAAATCATGCGAGTCAATTTCAGCAGGTGGTTCAATGTCTTCATCAAAGACGACCTTGTAGAAAGGCTGGAAGCATTTGATCACATTGTGAGGCCCAGCGGTTTTGTTGTTGAAGTTGAGCATGCTGGTAGCAAGCTTCAGCCATTGCCTCAAGCAATGGTTCCAACTTGTTATGTTCAGGACATCGAAGAAAATCGTGTGAGTCAATTTCAGCAGGTGGTTCAATGTCTTCATCCAAAGGTTCATTGTCTTCCTGATGGTTAAAGTTTAAGAAGGCTTCATCATCTACCTGTACCTGGCTATTGAAATTGGAATGTGGCTGATCTGAATCGAGCTGAGCTGATGGTCCTTGACCTTCCTGCAATAAAAATTGCTGTATCAATGGTGTAGATTGAGTAGCATGTTCCAGCTGATCTTTTTTCTGAGCTAAGAAGTCCTCTTGCAATTGAGTATGTGGTTTAGGATTTTGATGGATGGGACGGAGTGGAGGGACACCAGCTCACTTCTTACCATTACCCATATCAACTTGAACTTACAATAGCTTGGGTAAAGCTAAATAATTTTATATAAGAAGTCTGGACGTTGCATTTTCAACTGGTGTCCCAAGTGCCTGTTTTTGTCAATGTGAAAGCCCCAAATATCCCTTTTGGGGCAATGTCTTAGAGTGGTGACAAATTTGTCAATGTATCTCTGTTGAATTACATAGGCCAATTGTTGGTTCAAAAACTGAATTAACGTGGTCATTGGAAGGAATTGGACTGAGTTCCTACAATGGGTATGTTGGATATGCTACATTTTGCAAACACTTGTGGTCACACAAATACCATAAAAGGTACACATGTTCCTCAATAATGAGACACAATAATATCACAAATTCAGAACGGAATTTTGTGAATTGTTAATAACAGTCTACTTTTAAATTCTGTGAACTTGATGGTCATTTCAAACATTTGTGGAAATTTTTCAGGATACAAATGGCACATAAGATGAACAAATCGCTCATTTTTGCATCAAACATGATGCAACAATCAAAAAGAAATTTCACAGGAGGTTAATTTAAGCAAGATGATCAAGATAGATGGACATAAAGGGCTGTTGACTTGATTTGTAAAAATTCCAAATCATACTAGTTGCACAAAAGGTACACAACTCACTCAATATTGATTCACATTTATTGATCCCTTGATGACAAATGTTCAGATGTTGATTTGATGACGGGTTGAATATCAGACTTTTGCCAAACGGTCTCATTCTGATGAGCTTTATGGCCTGGAGAGGGTAATGCATCTCATGTTCTGTAACCTAAATAGAACTAAAATATTGAGGTTATCTCAGTGATCTCTGGGTGGTGACAAGTTATTCATTATTGAGAGGTGATTGCAATGTAACATATATGATTCTGAAAGACAATCACTGTAAGGTTCGGAGAACCTTCACTCAATACTCGGTACGGGAAGCTGTGAATCCACAGCGTATGGGTTTTTCTAGAACCCAAGAGATATGATCTATTTCAAATCAACGGAAATCCAGGAAGAGCCTGGTTCCGAAGGATAAGGGGTGGGAGATCAGTCCCAGTATCTCTAAGGACTAACAATAAAAGAAGAACTAAATAAAGAAGAAAGATAATTAGAAATGATGGACTTTACCTGGTTCCGAAGGATAAGGGGTGGGAGATCAGTCCCAGTATCTCTAAGGAACCAGTATTCAGATTGAAAGGTGAACAAGTATAAGAATGAGTCCTAAGTCTATGTGTTAAGTGTACCTTATGTATGTGTAATGACCACAGGTCTTACAGTCTCCCCTCCTTTAAAAGAACAGAGCCCGCCCAGAGAGGATTTAAGAAAGAGAAATAAAATTAAAAAAAGAAATAAGTGAAAGCAAAAGAAAATCAAGTGAAATAAAATCAAAAAATAAGCTAAAAAGGAAAAATTGAAACTAAGTAAAAAAAGGAAAATTTCGGAGTACTTGAAGTATCTTCGTCGTCCTTGTCCCGTTGGCAATCTGTGAACAGTTGAAGAGTATGTGCTCACAAAGTGGCCGAGGTGTTGTTTTGGCAAATTGATGTAGTACATCCGGCGGTGCATACAGAGGAGAGGAACTTACTTCTGGGCCTCTTTGCCTGACGACTCCTCCCTCTCAATGTACGCCTTGACTTTTGACACATGAAACACATTGTGTCGTCGGTCGCCTGTTGGTAGTTCGAGTTCTATGTTTTGGCCGTGGTTGAATGATTTAATGACACGATAAGGCCCTTCATACCGTTCTTGTAACTTGTTAACCCCTCCTTGGTGTCGACCACGCCAGTCCGCTGCATCTAGCAATGCCCATGAGTTAGGTAGTAAAGGTTCAATAGATCTACAGTGTTTGTTATGCTGTAGTGCTTGTTGAATCCTGCTGGTCCATAAGGCATCACGTGCTGTTGACCATACGTCTTGTCGAGTTGAGAACCATTTAGTCAATGCTACAGGGTCGGTATCTGAAGGCTCCTGAATTGAAAGTAGTCGCTGTGATCGGCCAAAAATTAGCTCGAAAGGTGCTTTCCCCGTTGCCACATTCAAAGCGCCATTGATGGCATATTCTACTGCCGCAACGGATTCGAGCCACTTGCCCTGACGTTTGGCCGTGAATGTTCGCAAGATCTGGCCAACCGTTCGGTTCGTGCGTTCGCTCCGACCGTCAGCTTGGGGATGAAAAGCTGTCGACATATGAAATTCTGTCCCGCAACGTTTCATTAGGGCTTTCCAAAATGCTGAAGTCCACGTTTTGTCCCTATCGCTGATTATGGAGGAAGGGGATCCAAAAGTACCAATCCAGCCTGAAAAAAATCGTGAGGCTGTCTTCTCAGCTGTGTCTGATTGATTGCACGGTATGATCCTTGTGAAACCTGTCAGCCTGCAAGTGCATGTGAGTAACATGTTGTAGTTATTAACAACTGGTAGTGGTCCAACAAAATCAATGGCTAGGCAGCTAAGCGGGGTCTGTGGAACTGTTGGTGTCAGCATCTTACCCACTGGTGCTTGTGTCGGGCCTTTAGTTCGCTGACACGTGTCGCACGATTTGACAAACTCCATTACGTCTTTTGCCATGCTCGGCCAGAAGAAATCACGTCTCAAGTCAATGACCGTCTTGAGGTAACCTAAATGGCCTAATCGTAGGTGGGTTTCGTCAATAATATTTTTACGTAGTTCGTCGGTGGATGGTACGTAAAGTCGGTTGTCTACAAAAAGTAGGCCATCTACTATGGCGCAGTCTTCTCGTAGTGGTAATACAGATAGGATGCTAGCGTAGAATGAATCACCGTCGTAACTGTTGCGGATTTTTGAACAAATCTGTGGTGATAATGTGGGTCCAGCTTCTACTAATGCTGCTACGCTTTCTATTCCAATCTCTTCTACTTCACCATCTTCGAGTTCCTTCCTAGATAAGGCGTCTGCTACACTATTCTCTTCTCCTTTAACATATTTAAATTCAACATCAAAATCAGCTAGTAATTCGATCCATCTTGCTTGCCTCCTGCTCAGTGTGCGTTGTTTCAATAAGTAAGTGAGTGAGTGGTGGTCGCTCATGACTTTGATTTTCATACCTAACAGGAGCATCCGCCACTTGTGTAACGCGTGTATGACTGCTAGCAATTCCTGTTCGTGTACCGGATAGTTTTTCTCCGCAGGCGTCATTTGTCGAGATTCATAAGCTACTGGTGATGCCATTTTCCACTCTTTCCCTTGGAATAACGCTGCTCCTAGTCCTGATCCACTAGCGTCCGTAAAAAGCCACAGTGGGTCTTCAGAGTCGAAGTCAATGTTTTTCAAGTGCGGCAGAGACGTCATGAGTTTCTTGATGTTATTGAAAGCCTCGTCTTCCGCTCTTCCCCAATGAAACTTTGCAGGATCCAATTTAATACTGGTAAGTGGAGTTAATTTGTTGACGTGTTTCTCTAATCCCCATATAAACTTTTTCATCCATTGAACAGTTCCTAAAAATTTCTTCACTCCTTTTGCTGATCTTGGTGTCTTCCAATTTAATACTTGCTTCACTTTTTCATCATCTACTCTAATACCTTCTGCGGAAATCCAGTGTCCTAAAAATTTAATTTCCTCCCTAAACATTTTACTTTTCTTCTTGCTACAATATAAATTGGCTGCTCTTAATTTTTGTAGTACTTTACGTGTATGCTCCATGTGTTCTTCTGGTGTGTTGGAGAAAACTACAATATCATCTAGATAAACTACACAAATATCATTCAGTAATTCTCCTAATGCTTCTTCTAGTCGACTTTGATGTGTACTTGGTGCGTTAGTAAGTCCCATCGGCATCACACACCACTCGTATAATCCCCAAGGTGTGTGCACAGCTGTCAAAGGGATATCCGCGCTTCTCATTCGAGTTTGGAAAAAAGCGTTGGTGAGGTCAATGATTGAAAAAATTTTTCCAGTTGCTACTAGTCTGACCAACGCGTCCATGTTTGGTAACGGCGAACGGTCCCTTACGGTCAGACTGTTCAAGACGCGGTAATCGCATACCCATCTTGGAAGTTCCGTAGGGTCCTTCTTTGGTATAATTAAACTTGGTGAGGCATACTGGCTTGTTGATTTCCTGATCCTGCCCGCTGCTACATGCTGATCCACAAGTTTCTTCCATGCTTTTAAATGTTTCTGAGGATAGTTATATTGTTTTTCTTTAATGACAGCATCTTGATCTTTTAATATTATCTTGTGTCTGACATTAGAACTTTCACACTGCATGCGTTCTGGGAAAGAGCCATCAACAAACAGACCTTCATCTTCTGCCTCTTCTGATACTGCTGGGATGTCAACTGGGAATAATTCCTTGAATTCTTCAAGTAATGCTCTTTCTTGTTCTTCACCTAATGATACCATACTCACATCTTCTACCTTTCTCAGTCTTTTCTCCCACTCTGTTTTACTCTCTGGTTTGGGCTCAGTGATACGTGGTACTTGTGATGAGTTAAACTTTTCATTTAATTCCTCTAGCACGCGATAATCAAAAATTTTGAAACCAGTTTGTTCACACACGATAGCACGTTGGCTGACAGAAACAGAGAGTTGAAAAAGGTTGAAAAAAGGAGTCCCAAGGATCATGTCAAAGTCCCCTCCCACATCTCCTAACTTGCAGTACGTTCTGCTGAATTTCCTGTTTGATGTTGGTTCTAGGAGATCAAGTGTTGTGAAGTGGGTTAAAACTGCTGGAGGCGATTCAGTCGATACTGCGAGGCTCAGTTGGGTAGGTCGCACCAACTTCCTGCGCCTCAGTTTCATACGCTCGGCCGCCTGTTCTGTTAGAAGATTGATTTCAGCACCTGGATCAGCCAGTGCTCGGATCGTTTGGTTGTTGCATGTAAATTCAATTATCACGCGAGGAGGTTTGGAGGTTGGTACGCACCCTTCGGCTTCCGCCAAGTCGAGTTCATCATCTAATGCCTGAAGTGCTGCCACAGATGCTTCATCGAGTTCGGGGAAGTCTGCAGCTGCCGCTACCTTTGCATAAGTAGTCGGTGTTCGC